TCTCTGGTGGTGGTGGTGGTGGTGATGAGGTTTGGAGAGTGCTGGGTCTGTTTCCCGAAGCCATGATGACTGTAATAATAATCGGGACTTACATGATCGTGGTGTGGCTGCTGCTGCTTGCGAGGAGTGGAAAAGTACTCCGGCCGGTCGTAAGGGGGCTGCCACGAGTACTGGTAGTTCTGCGGCGGCGTCTGCTGGCTGTATCCGGCAGAGAAGCTGGCCCGGTAGGCGTGTTTCTTCGACCGGGGGGTGGCATGGGGGGAGCCGGTCGCGAAGGCAGCAGCAGCAGCGGCGGCGGCAGCCTGGGCAGCCTGAGCAGAGGCAGAGGCCGAAGCTGAGGGCGGCGGGGGCCCGTAGTAGGAGGAGTAGTGAGGCGACGGGGGGGTGTAGCCGTCGTACGCAGACCACCCGGACGGGGGGCTGGGATAGTGGTACATTATGAGAGCATCACCCAGTCAAAACGTCGGCAGTTCGTGGAGTCGTTGGAACGTCGTATTAAGCGCAGAGTATCGAGAGAGGACAAGTTATCCGTACGGCAGAGAGGCTGGCAGCAGAGAAGCAGCAGAGTCACCGGTCTATCGGGGGGAGGAGGCAGAGGTCGCGGCGGTGGTGGAGGTGCTGTGAGAGCATTTGCGCAGTGCAGGAGCAGCTCATGGGCTTGTGCAGGCAGCGAGCAGGCGAGACGAGAGACGATATCCAGGCCAGATATCTTCTCTCTGTCTTCGGCGAGGGAGTCTTGTCGACGAGCGTCTGGTCTCTTGCGTCTGGTCTCTGCGTCTCCAGCGAGTCCTGGAGGCTTCTCGTCTCGTCCGTGGGCGTCTTCTTGCTGGTGCCTTGCGGTGACTGTGCTGTCTGTCCGGTCTCGGTGACCAGCAAAGAAAACAGAACGAATAGCAGGAAAAAGAGAATAGAAGAAGCGAAAAAAAGAACAACTCCGGTCTATCCTGTCCGTCTGTGTCTGTCTGTCCGTCTGTCTGTCTGTCTGTCTGTCTGTCTGTCTGTCTGTCTGTGAACTGTGTCTGGTGTGTCTGTTTGTCCTCAGCAGAAGAAGAAGAAGAAGAGAAGAAGTTTTTTCGCCTTCCTTGATTTTCCTTTTTTGTGCGAAAAAAGAAGTTTTTGAAGAGTTTTTTTAGGTGGTAAGATTGGGTAATTACGGGACGGGACGAGGCGCAAGGCTGGGCGTGGCAGGGCGTAAGTTACGGTACGGTGGATACAGGCACAGGGGAGGAAAAGGAGGCAACAAAAGATGGGCGCGAGGCAGACATCAAAGAGTCATCGAAGAGTCATAGACGGTCACTGTTCGTATATATATATATTTACATACTCATATATTTATATATATCTATATAGCAAGAGACAGTAACCGGGCGTAAGACGAACTGCTGTAAAGACGTCAAAGTAACAAAGTATGTAAGAGCAAGGTTACAGCAAGGCAGCAGTTGGGCATGAAGAGACGACGATGATGGTGAGGTCGAACGAGAGCGAAGAAGACGGTGGAGAGAGAGTAAACAAGCAAGTGACAGGCCTCGTATCGGCTCTCTCTTCTGCCCCTGCCTGGCACTCTCTACCGCCCTCTACCACCGTCTTCCGTCTTCTTCTCGTCTCTCCCATCATCGTCTTCTCTTCATCTACTTCGTTCGCACTTCCAAGTATAAAGTTCTGCTGACTAACGCTATTGAGTTCTGATTACTAAAGTTACGATTACTAACCCTGTCGCCACGTGAGTGCTTACGTCATGGTACATGAACTGCGGCCCGGGCTCGCCTTTACTTGCTCTTTCGGGGGAGGGAGAGGATTAGATGAAGACGGCTGGGAGTAGATGAGCTGGATGAAGATGGATTGTAGTAGATGGCAGATAGTAGGCAATAGCTATACAACAATGTACTCATCAGTAAGACGTTGCGAGTCGATGATGCGCCGCCACCGAAAGGCCGCGCCCCCCAGCAGTTCCCCTGAAGGCGGCGTTCCTGAGCCACTCTCGTTCGGATCCTCTTCCTGCCAGATACGCTCCAGCAGCTGCAGACAGGAAAGGTTGTTCACAAAGCCCGAGTCCCGCTGGATGTCGCAGCACCGCTCGCGGATGATGGCCCTCTCGGCCTCGCCCATGCACTCGCTGCCCACCACGAACAGCGGCCACAGCAGGAAAACGTCCGACTTGACGGCCTGTATATAGTGCAGGGCCGCGCTGACTAGTGTCTGGAAGCGAGGATGGCGTGAGGGCGTGGTCGGGTGGGCCAGGCGCTCTAGATACAGCAAGGCAGAGTACCGGAAGGACTCGGAGATGTTGGAGATCTCGGGCAGGTTGGCTGGGTTGACGTGTGATAGGGGGGATGCCGGGAGCGGAGCGGTAAAGAGAGATGTAGATGTGGGTGTTGATATTGTTGATGTTGCTGCTGTCGAGATGGTCGATGCAAGCGACGGGGCTGGGCTGTGGGTAAGATTGTGGGTGTGGGCGCCGGGCATGTCGGGAAGACGCCAGCTCTCGAGTTTCTGCCGGACGACGTGCCATTCTCGCCAGAACTCGGTGCGTGGGTCAAGCTGGCTTACGGGGATGGCTGATATGTCAACCAGGGGAGTACTGCTGGTATCAGTAGTACCAGTAGTACCAGTAGGCGAAGCAGTGGGTAGCGGATAGTGGGTTAGGGTCTGAGGGATAGCAGCCGTCGGGACGGGGCGCTCCATCCGAGGAGTGCTGTTGTCTACCGGCTTGGCCTGGCTGAGCTGGTTGAGTCGGCCCAACTGAGCAACGGCCCGGAACAGACGTGGATCACAGCCAGCCAGGTTCTCCAGCGCCCACTCGTCCTGTCCCGAGGTAGTCACTTCCAGCAGACAGCCATTCATCTGGCTGTCCCGGTCGTTGATGGTGGCCGTCATCGTGTCAAACCAGGTGAACATCCGCATAAACCACTTCATCACATCCGAGTCCTGGCTCCCTCGGTCTCGGCCTGCGCCCCGTATCATAAACAGCTTCTTCACGCCGGCAAACTGGCTCCGGAACGAGGCGAGCCCGGTATCACACATGTGGAAGAGGCAGAGCATCAGTAGCGTGGCAAACACCGAGTCTGTTCGTCGCTGCACAGGGTCTGCCAGCTGGGCGTTGATAGACCGTATGGCCATCCCCTTGTGGTATGACTCTTCTCGAAGCTGCTCCTCTGGCGTTGTCACTCCAAACGCCTCTTCAAAGACTCGCTCTGTCATCCGGCAGTGGGCCTGCAGCGATCTTCTAGACGGGTCTGTCTTCCCCGTCGACAGCAGGCCCCAGTTGCGCCGCCGCTGACGCAGGTTGCTCAGTGACAGTGCTGCAATGGCATGCTGCAGTGCCTCGCTGCCCTTGGCGAGCTCGAGCAGGTACAGCCTGAATGGGTTGTTCGGGCTGTCAAACGTCACTATCACAGGCGCTATGACCTCTGTATAGTACCCGATCAGGTACCGCATGCGTGGGTTGCGGCCTATCCATGTTGTCGAAAATGGTTGGTTCAGCGAGAAGCTCGCTGTTGGGTATGGCTGGTAATGGTAGGTATTATTAGTATTAGCATTATATATCGACACGTCAGACGACACTGCTGTCTCTGATTCGTCGAGCTCTTCTTCGATATGCCGCTTCTGCGTCACTGGCGTGGAATACAACTCCAGCGGACTGAAGTGAGTGGTTGTGGCACTGTACGGAGAGCCATAGGGAGACCCTAGCTCTACGTAGGCGCTAGTACTGCTGGTACCATTGGTGCTGTTGGTGTTGGTGGTGCTGATGCCGGTGCTGGTGCTGGTGCTGGTGCTGGTGCTGATGTTGAGTGGCTCAGGTACGGCCCAGTAGAGCGGTAGGCCGCACGCGTCGATGGGGCTGTAGGTCGAATTATATGCAGCTAGGGGGGGATATGTGGGCTCACTCGTGGTGGCGCTGCTGGTCGTGCTTATGCTTCCGGCGACGCTTCCGGTGATGCTCCTGCCGCCGATGCTGCTGCTGGTGCTTCGCGGAGGAGTCGAGTTTATTGCTGACCACGGCGAAGTCGGCGTCGGCGTATGCGTCGGCGTCTGCGTCGGCGCTGGCTCAGCCTCCTCCTGAACTGGCCGACTCTTTTCCGCTGCTTTCGCCTCTGCAGGTTGGGAAGGTACACTCCGAGGCTCGGTCGACTGGGTGACCTTCTTCGCGCCTGATACCGGCAGAGACAACCCCCTGAGCTTCCCTCTACTGGCCACGCCGATGCCCCAGGTCAACGTGGTCTTGTATCCCGAGCACTGCCGTCCCATGTCAAGACATGGCGTGCAGTACGGCCGCCGTCTGTCGCATCGCACCTGTCTGCTTGCGCAGGTGAAGCAGTCGTCCGCCGCACCGCTGCCCACCGCCCGACGGCGCCGTTTCCGAGGCACAACAGACGAGCCCTCGCCCTGTGTGCTTGGTTTGCGTGCCTTTGTCGTGCCTGGTGTCGCCATCATGGCGTTAGGGCGTAAGGCGTAGATATTATGAGCCGATATTTATATATATATATATAAAAAGTTATGGCGGTTTCGGTAGTTGTGTTTGTGGTGTAAATCCTCAGATACCCTTCGGGATTGCCAACACGGCCATTCTCAACCGTGAGTTCGGCCGACTGCGATCCTGCGTGTCAACGTCGATGTCGGTGTCGATTCCAGGTGATGCGCCTTTGCAGCTGGTCGATACGATGCGACGCGATGGAATGCGGTACAATGCAATATTGTGTGACGAAAATCAAGTAGTTGTTCAAATGCGAGATCCGAATCTGTCTCCACCCCGGGTAAATATCTGTATCAGACAGATTAACGTCTGTAGCCGGTGTCAAGAGTGTTCCAACGGCGGCCTGAAACACCCGCCTCGTCCTGAGATGGGCCCCCAGCGTACGGAGGATAGCATAAGCGTCTTGGATGAGGGATGAGGGATGTGGCCCGGCGTTGCGTCGACGTCAAGATGTGCAGGTAATGTAAGTCAGTGAGAAGAGGATCAACCCTGGGAGGACGTCAAGGTCAGACAAGAGAGTCAAAAAGAGAGTCGCGAGAGTCGCAAAGACGGACGAGGGCGAGCAAGGGGACCCACTTTTCACCCTTTTCGCTTCCACGGCTCTGGGAGTTCTGGCGGCTCTGATTGGCCAGTACCCCAGACCGGCTTTAACCGAATAGGTAAGGTGGGTGGAGCGCTGACGCTGAGTAAGCGGGACGGAAGGGAAAGAAGCGCCCCTATTGGCCGGAAGAGCGGGAACTCTGCTTGCTATGATTGGCTGGAGTTTTCGGCCCTGTCAAGCACGCGCCTGCACGTGATGCTTCTAGAAGAAAAGAAAGAAGAAGCAAAAAGTTTAATTTACGAGTTTACGAGAAGTTTTATTTATGGTTGGAGCGAGAGACAGAGCGAGTTGGGAGATGATCATGAGGATCAGTTGGTAGGTGTAAAAAGGGGATGTCAATTTATTAGTAAAAAGGTAACGAGTTATGTATATGTAGAGACGAAGTATATGCCAATATATTAGACAATAAACAAAATTGCCTCTGTAGGAGAGTAAAGGCTCGAGGAAGTGGATATGTAGAAATGAACAAAAGAAGAATGAATATGATAGCCAGCCAACCAATTATACCCGCCGAACGCCAGGTCAAGCAGAAGAGAAGTGAACAAAGTATGTAAAAGCTGACAAGCAGTAGAAAGTAGCTCCTTGCTACTTAGATCAGGGCCATGGCGATCTATGCATATATACCCAAGGAAGATATTTTAATGAAATGAACGTCAAAATGATGGTGAAAAAGAAAGGAAGAAAAGAGAAGAGAACAGAAGATTAGGAGAAGGAGAAGAAGGGCAATTATGTGCTGCTGCGTCCCGGCGTACTGTTGCGTCCAGTACCCGGTGTGCTGATCATTTCGTCCGAGACACTGATGACTTCCACGTCCTCGGGCGTCTCAGCCATGGTGCTGGCGTACAGGCGGCTGAAAGACGAGTCGGTAGACAGCAGGGTATACGGGTCGTCATACTCGAGCAGCTCGCCGCCGTCCAGTAGGGCAACCCGGTCAAAGTCGAGGATGGTGTCCAGCTTGTGGGCGACTGCAATGATGGTGCGAGACGACAGCTTCTCTCGAATGACTCGCTGCATGATCTCGTCGGTCTTGTTGTCGACGCTATAGGAACAAGTTTGTTAGTCGGGAGTCCGTATTATCATTTAGAAGTAGCTATCATATGCAAAAGAGAACATCGGGGACCGAGGTGAAGGTTCGGCCGTCCCGGGTCGGTCCCGCTTTTGACGATCTTCTTTTATTTATACCTAAACAAAAGGACGGGAAAGGAAGGAATGATACTTACTTGCTTGTGGCTTCGTCGAGAATAAGTATTGTGCTGGGTCGAAGGATCGCTCGGGCAAGGCAGAGAAGTTGCTTCTGGCCATGCGAGAGATGGAACTCGTCAATGTCAACATCAAGGCCGCCCTTCTCGTTTACAATGTTCCATAGCTGGACGCTCTTCAGGGCTGAGATCATTGCGTCGTCACTGAGAACGCCAGTTGGATCGACATTGAGGCGCAGTGAACCCTTTAGGATGAGGGCGTCCTGGGATACACCAGTGATACGGGACCGGATCTCGGAGCGAGGCAAAGTGCTGAGATCAATGCCGTCGATCGAGATACTGCCGCCGCTCAGTTCGAGCATGCGGAATATCGTTAGGATGAGAGAACTCTTTCCACTGTTTGGTTGAAATAAGCTCATGGTTAGTCTCCGCTGCGGGACGGGCAAAGGGAATGATACTGCGCAATACCACACAAGCGCATAAAAGGGAAATTAAACTAACCTTCCAGTTCGTCCACAGATGCCCAATTTCTCTCCCGGGGCGACGGTAAGGGTCACATTCTTTAAGATGGGTTCGCCCGGCCGGTACTCAGCGGAGACAGACTTGAACTCGATGCCTCCCTGAGCAGGCCAGTTGTCTGGTGGCTGAGTGTTTTCGCCCTCCTTATCCTCAGGTTGGGCAGTCTCGTTGAACACCTTGATGCGAGCAATGGCTCCAATGTGCGTCTCGAGAGTGGTCCAGAAGGTGATGAGCAGCTTTATCGACTGACTGAACTGGATAACATTAAGCAGAGCAACACCGGCATATCCACCGCTAATAGTGCCTCGGAGTTTGATGACCAGGACTATCAACAGCACGGCAATACCGGCAACAACCATATCGAGGACCAACGTCAGCCATCGCTGGACGGAGAAAAGGAGGTAGAATGGCTTCTGGGAACGGTCGAGCAGCTTGCGGTTCTTCTTCTCAAGGGCTTCCTGCCATCCAAAGGCACGGATGGTGGCCAGACCGTTGAGACACTCGGTGAATTGAGAGTATAGCGGTGCCTTGGCCTCGAGGTCCATGAATCGGAGCTGGCGAGATGTACGAAGGTAGTACTTCTGGATCATGTACAGCGTACCGATGATAAGTGGGAAAGCGATAGCAGCATACACGGAAGCAACGCCAATGATCACCATCTGAGCAAAACACAGAACGAAGGTTGCAAAGGTGTTGAGTGCAGCCACAGGAAGTTCCATATCGATGAGCTGGAGATCCTGGGAGAATCGGTTCATGGTCACACCTTGGTCAGTAGTCGAGAAAAAGGACAGAGGAGCAGACAGGACAGTCTTGAGCAGAGTAAAATGGAAGGCCTCGCCGGATTTTGGAACCATGGTGATAATCATTTGCCATGATCCGAGTATGAGAGAGATGATGGCAAGAACACCGAGCATGACATAGATACCCAAGTAGTAGCCGAGCTTTTCATATGGAGCTTCGATGTTGGATGCAGCCCACCATTTCAACCAGATAGCTACTGCTGTTAGCATCCATCCATCTCACGGAAAAAAAACAAACAAGACTTACTAGGGAAGGAAATGCAGAAGACGAAAGCGCTGATGAAGAACATGAAGACGATGGTGGTTGGCCAGCCAATGGACCGGGCATAGTACAGGTAGATGGCCATGTCGCCCATTCGTCGGTTAGCCGCAGCCTCGAGCTCGTCAGACGTCTGGGGAGTCTCATCGACAACAGCCGGAGCAGGGAGGGGTCGTTCTGGTTCAGGCTTGAACAGCCAGTCGGGCGAGGGAAGGTTGAAGCTCGAGACATATCCGCCGGATACGTTGAGCTCCTCGAATTTACCTTGCTCGTCAATACGGCCGTCAGAGCTGAGAGCAATGATATGGTCGGCATAAGGAATACGCTTGGCTGCACGTTTATCATTAGCTGGAATGTCTCGCCTATTGTTACGGCATCGGGTTTCAACTTACGCGAAGACGAGGTGATGATGACGGTAGTCCCGAGTCGACGAAGCAGTCCCTCTTCTCCAAGAAGGCTGTGGAAGATGTGGTTTTCAGTTGCAGCATCGATTCCACTGAGAACATCGTCGAGGATAAGGACGTCCTTTTGAGCATAGATGGCACGGGCGAGGGCCTATGGTCCGGTCAGTTCAGCGTCCATGGACGAACTTGTGTGACGATGGAGAAGATAACTTACGATACGCTGGCTCTGGCCACCACTGAGGGCGATACCCTTGCTGCCCACAATGGTCTGGTCACCGCGAGGGAGCTGGCGAAGATCCTGGGCCAGACCACAGGCGCGGACAACAGTGGCATACCATTTCTCATCGAGGTCCAGGACAGAGACAATGCTGTCCTTGATCGACTCGTTCATGTGCCAGGCGGTCTGGTCGCAGAAGGCAATGTTCATGGAGGCAACCTCAACCACGCCGGCGAGACAGACGACTTCACCAAGGATGGCCTTGAGCAGAGTCGACTTACCGCAGCCAACGGGACCGACGATGACAGTAGTCTTGGAGCGAGGGATGTTGATGTTGATGGACTTGAGGACGGCGCCCTTCTCGTTCTCCCATGCAAAGCAGCCATCGCGGATAGCAACAGCGTCCACTTCTGGGTTGGAATGGGTCAATCCCTTGAGCGGGAAGGAAGCGCCAGACTTTGTTGACTTGATGGTTGGGCTGGCGGAGCTGCGGTTGACCTTCTCGCCGTTCTTGGAGGCATCTTTATCAGAGAGAGCAAGGGTCTGCTGGCTAAGATTGAAGAGGTTGGTAATTCGCTGCTCTGGCTGGCGTCTGGAGTCGACCCGGGATGGCTTGTCAAGGAACTCCTGGATACGGGTGAAGCACCCGACGGAACCCAGGAATGTCACCAGGGACATAATCAAGGACTGCAGCGGCTCCGACAGCAGCGCAAAGAGAGACAGGGAGGTGAAGACACGGCTGATGTCTAGAATGGCGTTGCCGCCTCCATTCTTGTTGATAGCAGCAAACACGGCAAAAGTGATGATCGGACCAAAGATTTGAGACACAAATGCTACAGTGATTCGTCGTTAGCCAGCCCACCAGCCACAGAGCGATAATCCATCTCGAACGGGACTGCTTACCGAAGCCCATATTCCAGATCAGAAGCTTACGGAACTTCTTGGAAATGTTCAACTCTTCAAGTCTCAGATTGTGAAGATTTGTAAGGAGAACTTCTTTCAAACCGCACATCTTCACCCCCTTCATCGAACTCAGCATCACGCTGGTCGCAGAGATACGCCTCTCGATGGCCTCTAACCAGGAAGCCTGGTGAGCCATGACGAAGTTCATTGCAATCACCGAGCCGAAGAGTGAAACTATAGCGTCAAAATGTTAGCACGTTGGAACTGAACTCCACTCAGGGGTATCGGGTCAGGGAATAGGAGCCTCATCGGGGAAGCCTGTCAAAGCAAATACGTACGAATTGACACGGCGATTGGAACAACACAGGCGACTCCGAGCTGCTTCTGGAGCAGGAAGATGGCGATACCCACTTCCGCGGCAGCAGCCCAAAGCTCATGCATCGTTTGCCATCCTTGGACGATACGTTCAATATCAGCACTCATGAGGGTCATGGAAGAGGCTGGGTCGACGTCCTGGATGTTGATGTCCGTTGCCTTCCGGTAGAGCATGGAGATCAACCCACCGCGAACCATGGTAATGGCTCGGTAAGTCAAATGCTGGTATTGACCCATGGCAACCTGGAACCACAGTTTAGCGAAGATTCCAAATGCAATGGTACATGGCAAAGGAGACGGTTAATGTGAATACTTACAGCCAGACCGACGTATACTATGACATAAGCGAAAATAAGTCCGTATCCTTGGTTCGTTGTGTCGTCGGTAATCGGCTCGGAGGCAAGCAGAATCGCCTTGTTCAACAGGAACGGCTGAGCGAACAGGAAGCCGATCAAGCAGAGACGTGGGAAGGCAATGGACAAGATTGGCCATTTGAGCGTCTTGAAAGTCACCATAAGCAACGAGTTTGGCGTCTTGGATTTGACTACGAAAAGCGAATGTTAGCAAAACCAGATACCCCAGGGGCAAATTGCAAGGTGCTAAAGCGTACCTTTCTCCCATGCGTCGTTCATGCGCTGATGAATGCGCTCTGAGAGCAGATGCTTGTCTAGCTCGTATAGATCTTCTACGAAGAGAAGCTTGGAGAATCCGTCCCAGAAAAGAGCGTTCAGCCAGACGAAGAAACTTCGGTTGAAGATACCAGCAGTAGCTTCTGGAGGGTAGGATTTGTACTCAGCCTTGAGCATAAATCGCTTCTCTGTAACTTCCAGGAGTAAGATGACAAATTTCAAAGCAACCGTGGCCGTGAAGCCCCAGGCAATGATTTGGCCGGTTCCATTAGCGTCTCTCAGCCATAGAGTCCTTGCTCGCGCAACGTCGAAAAGGAGTGTGAAGAACATGAATACATTGAGCATCAAAGACGGGGTCGTTGTGTATAAGTGTTCCGCGTACGAGAGGAGGATGAATAGAATGGAACCAACGAGCGTCAAGACATTGACTGCTATTGAGAGCTGAGTTCTAGTGACATCGGGACGGGTCCAAAGAATTACAAGCAAAAGCTGCAATCCGCAATATGCTGCGAGAGACGTCTATAGCAGTCGATCATCCGTCAGTATACCGTCCAAATTGAAATACCCAGCTCACAGCAAGATGGCAATATGAAAAGCACTTACAATTTTCATATGAACCAATGGGGTGTCCTCGACTTTTCGCTTTTTTCTGAAAAGATATGCAATTCGGAACGGGGCAAACAGGATCATAATGCATAACGGTACCAATGTGAGGACGCTCTCCTCAAAGAGGAGAGTGAAATCGAATGCTCCACGGCATTGCTGAGCCCATGGACCAAATGTCCGGTCTTGCACCGAGGCACAGATGTCGTTCGAGGCCATGATGCCCGGATGCTTATACCAGAAAACCAGGAATTGCTCAGATATGAGCAGAAGAGGTAGAAGAGAAAGATCTCGGAGAATATATTCTAAACCTCGCACGAACTAAGACAACATTGACTGGGGCAGCTTTTTTTCTTTTCCCTTTAGGTCAGTGGAGTGGGCTGCCCTGTTACAGATCTAAGTCAGATCCTCGACGGAGAACTGAGGTACTAGTCACAGACACCGGGTGTAGGGAAGGAGGGTATGGGGAGGGTTTATTGAATTGCAGAATCAAAACGGAAAACAAAGAGGAATGTCGAAGACAGTTTATCTGCACTTTCAACGGAACTGTCAAGGCTGAAAATTTTTTCCTTTTGCAGCTGAGCTTCGACACTGCCATCTGGAATCATGCCGAGACTGCCCGTCACGATGTGCTCGCGATTGGAGCTATGCACTATTTTGAGCATCTGGTACGGAATGGTACAGTTCTGTGCCGTTTAACCTCGCCATTCTTGGAAGGCGACCCTGTATCCTTCGTATTGACTTTGACCTTGAGCTAACTCTCGATATTAAAAATAGAAGATCATATATCAAGAACAGAGATCAACTTAGGAGGGTGAGCAGTGGATCCGCTACAACGACCCCCCCTAGCTGTTTACTCCGTACTCTTTCTTGTCAGTCTTGAATATACCTCAATGGGGAAAAAAAAGAAAACAATGAAAAAATAAAAAACAAACAGCTTGATAGATGGAGAAGAAGCGAAGCGGGAAAGGAACAATATGGAAAAAGAAAATAGGGGAAAAATGACAGCCAAACGAAACGTATACCAGCCGAGGCAACGATCGAAGATAACTCTCCAAAGACTGCACCGGAAGGCTACAGGAAGTCCGGAGATATTGGAGGAGAGAGCTGTGGATCAGGGATTGAATCGTGCTGAATCAGGCCCGCAGCAATGCCGGAGAATGACCATCTCAGCAGTCACTAAGGGAAGCATGAGTGCAACAAGAAACTCTTTCCACTGCAGACAAGGATTAATCCAGTCTCAAGGATACATAGAGCAGTTCGACGATATCTGAGCTATCTGGCGAAGTAACGGAGGATCACCCCCCAGCAGCCGGGCTCGACCCGATGCGTGAAGGAAGCATCACGCTTGACGCAAGTCAGGGAGCCAGTGACTGATCGAGGGGCGTTGACGATCCCACGCTCTTGTGAGTAAGAAGCAAATAGCGGCAGCAAAAGCAAAAAAAGTGGTGTTTGAAATAAGCCACGTTCTTCTGCCTTTGCAAAATTCCGACGGAGTGAGAAGTACCAGTACTTCAACGAAAAAGGCTAATCGCCTGGCTTGGAATTTGACTATGGAGATCTGGCTTGGCCAAGCTTTCCCAGGATGTTTAGGCGAAAGAATCAAGGGGGGGTCCCGCGGGAGTTTGTCAGATGGTTCTGTCGACACCGCAGCGGTCGAAGGGCCGGGGGGTGGGCTCTCGCCTGCACAATACGAACACAGCCTGGGTACCTTGGATTAGGGAGCAATCCAGGATGGGAAAGCAGACTGTCTTCGACGTTCTCTTTGGCCGACGGAAATGTATTGCACACAAATACTGCGGATAAGTTGGTGGGAGTCGAAAAAAGGAACGAGCCGGAAGAA